GTATTTTTTTCTCCTCAGGTTCCACGTGTGTGCCCAGAGTTTGCCCTTTGGTCAGACAGTTGCTAAAAATCCAGTTTACTTCCTGCAGATGATATGGGACATGGCCCAGTACACCAACAAGCTCATCAGGTCCAGCAACAAGGGTAACACTTTCACTTTGGACATCCAACGAAGGATCAGGGGAAATGTTTGATTTTATAGTTTCATCTCTTTTCTCTCTGCAGGACTGACTTTGGGTGGTAAAGACCAGACAGGCACGGTTCAGTTTGAGGCGGTGGAGCTGCTCTTCTGTCTGTCCTTCCTGCTGGTTCTGTCCAAGCATCGTTCACTTTATAAAGATCTGCTGCCGCACCTGCACAAACGTGTGTCCCTACAGCAAACACAAGTGTTTATAGTTTCATAGCAAATCTAAAATAAGGAGCACAAATAGTTTTTTCCTGTGAACTTATCACCAACACTGAAGTGAACATTTAGTCTAGTTTCACATTTCATAAGTTTATCAGTCAGAGTTTCTTTATTGTCATTCCACCACATGTGGTACATATGGTGGAACGAGATTGTTGTACTCAGGGTCCCAGTTTCATTCATTCATTCAACCTTTATTTAAACAGACAAGTCACATTGAACTCGAAGACTCATTTACAAGTGAGATCTGTTTGGACAGACAATAAAGGTGATGAAAAATGACACATAGGGTATGGAGACAAAAAAAATATTCCTAACGCGCTTTTAACCTCTGTTTGAAGGTCAACAGTGTGGTAATGAAAAATAATCTCGCACACGAGCGCATCATGACACCGACATTACGTGTGTGTGTGTGTGTGTGTGGGGGGGGGTGATGCAAGGGCAGTGAGCAGCCAGAGACAACACACAGAGGCACTGCAGCGTTCAGATAAAATCACTTAGTTCATAAAGTTCCCTCTGCAGAGATCCGTGCACACTCGGGGTGGGTGTCGAGGACCAGAGACGAATCCAGAGTTCTGAAATGATGACAGAATGTTTATTCAGCTGGACTCCTCTGAAAAGTTCATGGAAATTCCTCAGTAGGAGGGGAGGGAGGGGGTAGAGGATCAGGTTACAAAACTTCCAGGCGGGTTGAGATAAGATCACCTGTCAGCAGTCAGGGAGCCACATTCAGATAAATACGATTGTTTTGGGGACAGACAGAACTTTAATGACTTAATGACATCTACCTTGAGTCTGTGTCGGTCCACTCAGATTTGAAATGTTCAAATTAAATGACCACACCAATGGAACATGCCTGAGAATAATCCCCGTGCTCTGATTCATTCTGCCAAAAGTCTGGGTGCTCGAGGCACGAACCAAGTCATCATATAAGGCAGGCAGCCTGACCAGGTCCAGATTTGCTGCCGACGACTTCCTTGTTTGTTGATAGACCAGGAACCAGTTATCATAAATCCAATTATAAATGTGTCCTTAAAATCCACAGTCGACCGCAGAGATAGACGCATCATCAAGTCTTCAAAGTCGATGAGATATCCAGCTGCGTGCCAACAGGGAAAATAGGTTCACCTAAAGCCTGTCTTCTCTTCAAAGAAATGTTGTAAAGTATGTTGAGGGACCAACTGATCAAATCCAAGTCCATAGTTATGATTCAGAAGATTTGTAGAAGAGAGGCTCTAAAGCAGTTTCACAGACAGGACAGAGCTAAAGCAAAGTGGAGAGGGAGAGGAGGAGACGTCCGCCCTTGAGAACAAGTGTTGAATGATGATGTTACAACCAACAATAAAATGTAAAAGAAAAACATCAACTAAATATACACTAAGCACTAGTAGCATCCATCAATCATCTTTTACCCGCTTCTTCCATTTAGGGTCACGGGGGTCGCCGGTGCCCATGTCCAGCAATCACTGTGCGAGGAGCAGGGGACACCCTGGACAGGTCTTCAGTCCATCGCAGGGACACAGAGACAAACGAGACAAACAACCATTCACTCTCTCACTCACACCTAGGGACAATTTAGAGTCACCAATCAGTCTAACATGCGTGTTTTTGGTCTGTGGGAGGAAACTGGAGTACCTGGAGAAAACCCACGCATGCACAGAGAGAACATGCAAACTACACCCAGAAAGGCCCCCAGACCGGGATTTGAACCGGGGACCTGTGCGCTGAGAGGCAGCAGCAGCTCTACCAGTTGCACCACCTTGCTGCCCCACTAACAGCATAAAAACTACGTCAAACAGCATCACGAACATGAGTCTGTGTGAGCAGATGAGCACGCATGAACACAGCAACATGAAACAGATCAGCAGCACCATGAAACAGATCAGCAGCAACATGAAACAGATCAGCAACATGATGTGATTTTTTTCACAGTGATTATCCTGGTTAGAGATTCATGAGTCTAACAGCCTCAGGGTAGAAGCTGTTCCTC